GCTGCGCAGGGCACTCGGTGCCCCAGGCGCCTGCGGCAGTGGGTCGAGGAAGAAGAGGATCCCGTTGACCTGGGGAGAGCTGCGACACGGAGGTCATTCCCCTTAAATAAATAGAAAGCCGTGCCAAAAACCGGCCGTCGGCGTCCGTGCTGACGTCGGGTCCCCTGCCCCTCGGGGTTTTCGAGTCGCAGGCTGGAGTTTCTCCTCCCACGGCGCTGGCTGGAGCCTTAGTGACCCTGGTGAGCGCCCCAAAGAGCATGAAGAAAGCTTTGTCTCTGGTTTAATAGCGTTTGGGAAGCTGCTTAATTGAATGTACTATTAATTCTGGGGGTGGTTGCAACACACGCACGCGGCGAGCGCCGGGGACTGGCGTGGAGAGCTGGGTTTAGTGCCGGCAGCCGCCCAGGCTTATCAGCAGCCAGGATTGCGTGAGCTGTCGTCGCTGGTGGCTGTGGTCATACCCAGGTTTCAGGTATCTGGGGGTGGAAAATACCATTTTGGGGTTTTTTTTAACTTCTTTTCTTCTTTTTGAGTCTTCTGCCAGCTTCTTAAGAGGGCTAAATTCCCCCCACTTTGCTGGGAATTAACAGAGCAGGTCCCTCCTTCTTCCTGGTCCTCCCGGCTGGACTTTGTGGCGTAAATGAGTAACTCCTGACTCAGGGTTTTAGGGGAGAAGGCGAAAGTGAGCGCCGTTTGATACCGCTTTTCCCCTTCCCGTGTCCCAGGCAGAGGAGAAAGGACGTCGCTTCGTTCGGCTGAGCTACACGGGGAGCTGAGGACGGGCACCCCAAAAGCAGGCGGGCGGGAAGCTTTCTGCGTCTCCTGAGTCTGGACCTGGGGCTGGGTTGCTCATCCCGACGCTGGGCTGATCCCTCTGGCTGGTTTCCCGGCACACGCAGGGTGGAAGCGGGCAGGGTCCCGTGTGCCTGGCCAGGAAGGATCCCACCACGTCCCAGTGCTCCCACGAAACCTGCTCTTATGCCGTTGCCCTTCCGAAACCTTGCATCTCTCTCTTTTTTTAGGTAATTAAAGCCTAATTTTAAAGGTACGAAGCTGACCCGCGGGAGGAAGCGGGGGAAATGGGCCTCAGGAGTCGCATAAGACGTGAGGGGATTTTTTGAACTATTGCCTGCGTCTAATTTCTGTAATTTTGGTGTGGAAACCCCACCCGCGACGTGCTCCAGTGCCCCAGTCCGTTGCTTTTTGCTGGTGTAGGAAACGCTCGTGCAAGCAGACGTGAGCAGGACGAAGGTGACGGCGCAAAGCCGAAGGAGCTGCCTCTGCTGGAATTCAGTTTTGCTTCCAAAACGCTTTTGCAACCGTGTGCACCACAACTTGTGCTGACAGAGGAGAAAAAGGCGGCTTCTCCGCCAGGCAGAAGCGAACAGAAAGCCCGTATTTCACCAAATTCATTCGAAACCGCTGGATGACGCTGTCGCCCGGCCGAGCGACACCTTGCTAATTAGTTGTCCTCCCTGCAGCGAGGATTAAACCGGGAGATGGTGCGGGATCCTCTACCCTGGCCCTTCCGCACCCTTGTTGGACGCTTGGTACGTTCCTGCCTTCTCCCCTCGCAGATTTGGTCTCAGAAATCAGCGGCTTTGCAGCTCCCGGGGGGTTTTATCGTGTGCAGAGAATCGGGGAAGTGGTTTTACGTCGGCGAGAGGAGGGCTGGGCGCGGCCAGGGGCGCACTCCGTCGTGCCGCGCGCCTGAGGAGAACCCATCTGTTGCACGGGATTAAGTGTTCCGGACCCATATGGTTCAAAGCGTAAATCGGTCTTTGCAAAGATCCAAACGACCCATTTCACAGACTTTCTGCTGCTGGGATGCGCTGAGAAAATTTGCCGCTGGAGGGAATCGCTCCGTCCTGGAGCCTGTGCCGTGTTTCCAGCTGCTGCGTAGGTCAGGCCGTCCTGCCGGAGCACGGGAGCGTTGGAGAGGACCCGGGAGAGTAGTTCGGCCACCAGTCAGACCAGTTAACAGAGCGCTGGGGGTAAGCCGGGGCACGCTGGTGTCTTGCCAGGGTCTGGGTGCTTGGCACCCAGCTGGGCTGGTCCTCCAAAACGGGGAGAAA